ACTAATTTGCATTTAATTAAGGGTATTGCGTCTTCGATGTCGCCGAGTTTGACTATAAATTATTTTGCTTTCAGGGAATATCTAGTTTCGACTGATTTCGAATTTAATGATCAACCAACTTCATTTTACATGTATAAGTTCGACGTGGGCAGGTATACTGGAATTCGAATCCAATTAAATTTTATTTATTTCAATTGAAGTCGGGTGTGAGTAATTGCCGCAAGCAATCGTAGTGCATCGTGTCTTGTCGTGACAAGTTAACGCAACAGCAGGAACTTCAGTTTGTATGCAACCCAAAGTACACACAACTGTTCCTCACGTAATACTTTTAATTTTCAACAGCTTAACACATATTTCACCACGATTTATATAGATATAATCCAGGCGAGTATTTAACTATCGTCGTTACAACATAAGGAGTCATTATAACACTTGTGCGGGTGTAATAAAGGAATGTAATATGATAAATCCGTGAAATTATAATTCGTCGTGGCGGCGCATTATTCGCGCGGTGCGTTCGTTTACGACCGAATAAAAATAATGTAATAACGCCATTTATTACAATTCTTAACCGGCGCGCCGCAATCGAAACGACGCCGACGCCAGCCGGATGAAACGAGCGTGAGGGAAAAACCCGTGTGGGAAAAACAACGCACCGCCGGCGGGCACATTTTAACATTTTTCGCACTCGACACGCGGATGGCGAGTGCGCGGATAATAAAATTCGCCGGCGAGCATTGCACCTCGCCGATAACGCGCTGAAAAAGCATGGCGTACCAAACCGATAGTGTATAATGTCATGCGATTTCCGGTTAGAGGTAGTACATTCGTACAAAACCAACTCAATAAATCCTCGGTGGAGAATTTTCTACTTTTGCAATGAAAAACAATTCGTTGGGTAAATACTTTTAAAATATTTTGGCGAAAATACTTTGTATTGTAAAATAAAATTTGTTTTTATTTACGTATTTTGCCCGCCCTACTTTACGGCTTTGCCCGTGTATTTTTTAGTTAATCGTATGTGTCAATTTCGCCTACAAAATTCACATTTTTATTTATAAAAACTGAGAAATCTCTTTATGCACTTTACTGCCCTCTCGGATTCAATTATTGAACTATAACTACGTTTAAAGCTCTATATCAATTTTAAATCCCTTTTTAACACGATTTCCATTATAATTTATAATATTTTAATAGTTACTATTTTATTTGAGACTACGACAAATTCAAAAAATCATAAAACATTATAAACTGTCCAGCCGTTTTCGAGTTATAAATGTTCAAACTAACTATATAGATTTAAAATTGTAGTTGAAGTTATTTGGCATGAGTATATTCAAAAATTCAACATCTCTACATCCAATTCACGTCGTGTCCGTCCCAAAATGGTGATATTTCTGAATTCGCCTCAACTCCAGCGTGTAAAATGAGACGTCTCATGCAGAAATAAAAATAACGACGCATCTAAATATGAAATATTAAAAGCGGACGCCGGAAACTCTGCGATTTTGCATGCCGCATGTTGAATGCAGAGGGCGCGCGCATCCATGACACACGCCAAGCGCACGCGAGCAATAAATCAAACGTCGACATCGGGGATGGTCAAGATTGCGTGAAATCGCCGACAAAAAGTGTATTAGTAGCGGATGGCGGTGGAAGCGGCCGGAGGTCGACGGCGCATTTGGCACGGTCGCCACTCGGCGCTGCCAACCGCTGCCGGCGTTACCAAGGCCGCCCGAATGCGTCGCCGCCCCACCGTCAACCGCATTGCAATGCATGCGATCATGCGATATTCGGCGCGCACGTAAATATTCACATCGCCCCGGCTGGCATACATCGTCGAGATAAGTCCCAATTGCTTTTATGAGGTCGCGCATCCAGCGAACCGTATTTGAATATTGACGGGCAACATCTTCAACAGTCAGGCACGTAATACGTAAGTATTACTTTAATCATTAACAAGATATAATACTCTTGTATTCCATCTATTTTTTATCTGTCAAACTTAATTATAAAAAATATTTTTGTCAAATTTTGTTAATTTTGGTATTTTTTTATTTTTCCTGCTATTTGAACCAGACGGAAGCCCAAAAAATAAAATATATTATAAAAAATAATAAAAGCAAGCGTAATATCACTGAATTTTCCAAAAAACAGTTTTTTAAGTCAAAATAAAAGCTTTTTTCGTAATATTTTAATATGTGTGACATAAGTGTCTCTTTACTTATAAATATTCAACACTAATGCATCCCCTGATTACGTAGTCAAAGAGCAATCCAATTTAACCTTGATGAAAATATTTAAATTATCAGATTTTTGTACACCGACCCAGAATACTAATGCCGTCGCCTGGATTTCCATCACTGCTCTTCCCTACCTCGAAATTTCGTTTTCATTTTCACTTCCGCGCCCCACACTATTTTATTTCATGCCAAATTTCACCGGCTTTAAAAAAAATTATTACAACAAGAAAAAATATACCTACGCTTTCGGCGAAATTGTACGTGAGTATAATTATACTTTTACGCGACGCAGCAGGCCCAGTGTCGTCCATAGCAGAAAAAAAAAATTCGGTTTGCGCTGTGAAAATTGCAGAGAACAAAGCAAAAAAAAAATGCCGTCCCGTTGCGCGTAGCACACGCTGAGACATTGCAGGAATTCATAATTAGAGCAGGGCGACACGCCGAGAAGCACCCCTTTTGTGCGGCCATGCTCTCCCTGTGGGACTCGCGCAGGTCGCGCATATTGTCAACAACATCTCTTTCGCAGTCAGGCCGCCCTTTTGCACTTCGTGATATGTTAATTTCAAGCTACATTTGGTACATCCGGTTCGCGAACAAATTAAGCACGAATAAATTCAGCACTTTCATAAATTTCCGAGTAATTTTTTCATTGCCTCTACAATACCAACAGAGAAAAAATTGAAAAAAAAAAACAAGAAATTTCGATTTTGTTACGCGTATTCTGGTAGAGTTTATTGACTGAGCTGCGAGTCGACGACCTACATTCCCGGATTTACTATCTGGGATGTTGGAAGCATTGCCAGATGCAAGATGCACCCTGCTGGATCTTAATTGAGCACAATCAACGACATGCAGCTGTCAGCAATCGTCCGAAACCGAAGAAGCGAACATTTCATAATTAACTCAGCGATAGAATGCAGCGTAATCAATCTACTGCGGAACTGACAATTGATTAAAATTTTAATTGCTGCATGCGAGAATTTTAATTAACATAAACTACAATGCGCATACGTTTTAATTAATATTTCACGTTTTATTTCGCGCCTGATTAATAAAAAAATAATTGCATATGAATAATATAACTTTAATTTCTTCCAGAATGTTCTTTGACGTCCGGAATAGTAAAACAGAAAATATCGTGCTATTGTAGGCGTGTATGAGTGTTTTATTTAAATGTCATGTCCGCCTGTCATATTCGCACGACGCGGCGTTAACAAAAAAAAAGACCGAGCGTACGCAAACGAATTGATTATTTAATTATTTCGTCCTGACTGGTGCGCACATCGCGTCGTCCTCGAGCATTTCTCGTGTTACGACCATGCCATTTATTTTAATATTTGACAAAGCGGCATTGCAGTGCGCTGTCGGTTTTAATTTTTCGCTTTTTTTCTGAATTACAAAAGTCATCTCTTATTCTTCTGCGCGTCAGCGTCAAAATTCCTCAACAACAACAACAACAACGCGCAAGAAATAGACAACAAATTTATCAAACAGCGGAAATTTTCACTCAAGTTATAATTCAATTAAAAAAAGTTTTATTGGATTATATTCGGCGTGAAAAAAAATCTTTTGTGTGAGGTGCGAGTTGGAAAACCAAAAATTTAAATGCGTCCGTATTGGCTTTGTCCTCTGAGCCTTCTTATCAAACTTCTGGAGGTACGTCGAAAAAATGCGCGAAAAATAAAACGGATTAGCGCAGAGAAGGCGCCGGGCATCCGTGACAATTTTTTTATTTTTCCGAGACGCCAGCGACTGATAAACGGAAGCGAGGGTTAAGAAAAAAAGATGATATTACTTATGCATAATTTTTACTTGACGCTCCGCACGGAATTTTATTATTTCATTTGTGAGCAGTTTAACGCGAAATAAAGACGCAGACCGGTTGTCAAATTGAATTTCACGCTTTTTATACTTAAAGTAATTTGTTTTTTTGTCTAATTTTCCAACGGATATAATTTATAAAATAAATTTAAAATTAATAGGTTTCTATTGTTTTGTGAAACTGGTTGAAGAACTAAAGTTTAAAACCCGAATGCGAGTTGAATTGGTGAGCGAATGCGTTATTAGCGATTGGAGTGTTTTTGAGTGCTTCCGCAGTAATAACGACGCATTAACAACATTATGATCGCATATATCGGATGCGGTTTCGAGAGATGCATGGCCGTTTGCAATTTGAGCCGGCAGAAAGTCCGAGGAACAACCGCAATAAAAGTCGAAGCGTGCATTTATCTGCCGGCCGGCGAGTTTTAATCACAAGTCGACGCCCGGGCACAACGCAGTTAAAAATCTGCTCTTCCAGGACCATAAATAAGCGTACCACAAAAGGAAACAAAATAAAATTCAAAAACATGTTAGCTTTGCTTAAAACCACAAATTTAAAACTGTAAATGGTAAATTCATTAAAATAATACATTTTAAATGTTTAAACTGTAAATATTTTTATATTTTTATTTTTTAGCTTCTGAAGGCAAGTTGAATTGCGAATTTCGAAAATATTTACTCTTCGGAGTTTTGTGTAGCTTCGACTCCTCAGAGAGCTCGACAAAATTGAATATTTTTCAATTGCAGTCCTTCCAAAAGAGTGTCGCCGCACCTTTCAGTGCCCCACGACTCGTTTGCGAAGATGTTAAAGAAGAAAAAAACATTTCCAGTGGGAAAACAGGATGCACACGTAACAGATAACTTGCATTCATTTAAATTCAGACGTTTAAAAGTCTTTGAATGTCAAAAATACTGGCTTTATATGGAAAACATTACCTGTATCCAAAAAGGCATGTAAAACCCACTGCAGCACAATAGAGCGGCTGCGAGCGAAAGCGTCGCCCACAAGATGCCGACGCATGTCAACGACGTCGCCATCGTCTCGAGACACCCCCACACTATCTTTAGTTCTGCCACATCCTTCCGCACGCGTCTCACATCTCGAATCGTCGACCTGTCACAAGCGCAGTCACATGATGTCTGCAGAAACTACATTTTTCTTCATACACACTATTAATATCGGGGAACACGAGAACCTGAAACTAAAAAATAAATTACATCATAATTTGCTGATGTAAATCAATTAATACAATTTGCATTAGTTGGTAAATTAACGCCGTGTGCTGAATGTAAACGAATACGAGTACATGATATTGATATTGATTAATTTACACGCGCATGTAATTCGCAAAGTTGCGCTGATTGATATAATATCTAATTACGCGTCCCGCTAGTATAAACATTAAACATTAATATTTACTGTTTATTAAACTGCGATTTGTGTGTGTTTTCGAAATAATACGCGAATAAAAATAAATGTATTTAAATGCATAGGAATCAAATTATTATATAAAGTTTATTTCTTTTATTTCGGGTGAAAACGGTCACATTACCGGGTTGAAGTTTACCGCACGAACTGATATAAACCATAATCGAACATAATCGTAAAAATTGAACGCGCCGATGCAAAGCAATGTCTTCTAAACGTCTTCGGAGCGCGTTAACCCTTGAAATCGTTTTTTTCTCTTTCGGTTCCTTTCACATTTTAGAAAAATGTATCGCGTCTTGACTTGTCGCACTAAGTGTTTCCAATATCATCGTCTCAGAAATAGGGTGTAATATGCGTTGAGCAAATTGCATAGTTTTATTGTTTTTGGTTGGATTTCGACAGTGGAAAATTTAATATTTTCCAAATCTCTGATTTTTTCCTCTCTTTTCATATCTCTATGTATGTGTGTGTGGATCGCGTGTGGATTTCAAGTGTTCTGGTTTTATGTTCATACACATTTTTATATTTCATATTTATTTGAGGATTTTGCCCCGGCTTTGTTGTTCTCGTGCCTAAGCGGCACGCTACTAACCGGTTTTATTTCGTTTTTATTCCGGCGTAGAGCTTAACCACCCCCTCGAAGAAAAACCCACACAAGACGCACAATTTGTCGATGCGTGTGCGTCGATGTGACTTCAAAGATCAAACAATCATTTTTCCGTCAATTTTCCGGCCAAATTACTTTTTTAGGTTTTCTGAACCAATTGCGTAATTTTCAATTTGTGACATGTAATATAAAAGATTTAAAAGGTTTTGGAAATTTTCATTTCTGTTTCAGTATCAGCAGGTGTATCGAGTTGGAATGCGGAAATGACATCGTGGGCGGTTGGCGGGCGTGTGCATGTCGCGCTGGTGCGCGCGGAAACGAACGCTTCGTGCGAGAGGAAAGCCGGTTGGAAACTGTCGGGTCGGAAGCGCGCGCTAGAGGAAAGAAAAGTTTGCACTACTCCGTTTCGACTCGTGATGCCGGGGTTTCTATTATATAAGGCACGCTTTCAACGCAACCGAAACTACCGGGTCGAAATGCGAGTGCTTATTATCGAACTGACGTGGTCACGATTTTGTATTTTCATGGGTTTTCCTTATATTCTCATTTTCTATACAATCGCTTAGGATAAAAACAAAAAAAAGCAAATACAATCTAACAAAACACACATTTATACTTTATGATACAGCCCAATAGTACAAATTCTCAAATGTGCTTAAAAATACACACAAAATTGAATGTTCAGAACTTATACTGCAAGTCAAAGCATTGTCCATTAAATTAAAAATTTTAAAAAAAGATTTAAAACAATATAAACCTCATTAAATCAAAAAGCAGATTAAATTTCAAGTTGTTCTGATCCAGATTACGATTTGGTTTGCAATTTTGCCGGAATCAAGTTGAAATTGTGCGCGATGAGACCGCGCATTAAAACTCAGAACACAGAAATCACCTCCTCAAATGCGCGCGCTAATGAACAAAGCACAACCGTCGAACGAAACTTCGAATCGCATAATTGAACACTTGATGAAAGCCCCAGTGCAGCATCTCGGGTCGAGACAAAGCGAATGTTATTAATTCACAATTAAAACTTTGCAGCGATTCCGGTCGAATTTTTATGCACACCAGATTCGCTGATTTTTCTCTCGTTTCAGCTGGAAAAATCGAAGGAGCGACGACGCACAAAAGTTTCGTATTGAAATGAACTTTAACTTGATGTCAAATAAAAGAACACGAGAGTATCGCTCGGCACCCGGGTACAAATCGAATAAAAATTTCTGCTCGAACGAAAAAATAAAATGGGCTTAACTAAGCAAACATTTATCAGAAATAAAATATAAAAAATATGAGGAATATGAAGAATTGTATTTAATGTATAAAGTGAAAAATGTAATAATTTTTAATAAAATTTTTCCCTTGTGTTGGTTTTTGTACATGCGTAGAATTTAAATTTTAATTGTGAGTTGCAACAACAGCAGTGTTTTATCAACTTAATAAAGTTCATGTTTACATTGCCAGCAGCTACTTAAAAATGTAGTAGAGTGTACGATTATATTGTGCATTTTGTTGCATCAACATCCGGTTCGTACGTGATAAATTCATGTTTTGTTTACGCTAAACAAATTTTAATAATACTTGAAAATTAAATTTTCATTACTCACAAATGCGCGTAATTTTGTCATGAGTTTTCGCGGCGGTGAAGGTGATTTATTTCTATTTATAGCCATAGACACACTTCACTACTATACTATAAAGTTAAAAATAATCTACTTACATGTATTTTTATCCGAGACACGTATAATATTTTAACTTTAATTTTCGATGCTTTTGATTTTAAGTAAATGAGTGAAAATATTTTTAAGGTATTATGGAGTATTAATTGTGTTATCCTAACGATGAATTCAGTGGACGTGCGTAGCCGTCGATCGCGATGCACGCGTCGCGCCAGCCGGAGCGCAACTGAGCTACCGCGCCGCCTCCGCTGCCGCCGCCAGCAACCAGCGATCGGCGTCGCGACGCCGTGTGATCTGTACTTCTACCTAGCTATCACACAGATAAGTATTAATTTAAAAATTATAGTTTTTAGTAAATAAAAAATTTAAATTTAATTAATTTATTTTTTTGCATTTTCTGTTTATTGTATTCTATTTTATAGGCTTAAAATTAAATTGTTTCTATGTAAGTACTTAAAAGTGAATTTTTAATGCATGCTGAGTGCTCTCGTTGAAACTTTTACCGCTGTATCATTTTTTCCGACTTTTTTTCTCAGTGCTCAAAGCGGAAACTGTTAAATCAGTTTTATTGATGATTAAATGAGGCGAATAATATTCAAAGTCGTCGCCAATTTGTGCGGACCCCTTTCGTGGAGCTGCCACTCGTTTCACTCCCAACTGGATTCTTGCGGTTGCTGACATGTAAATGCAGCTGAAAAAGGACGGTTAAAGTAAAACATGCTGATGAATTCCAGGGACATTGCGACATTCGAATTCCGCACGTAGAGTACGAAGCACGAAGCCACTTTTCAACGACCGCTCATGACTCGTCATTCCAATTCGCAATTCGCAATTCACAATTCAAAATTCACATCAGTCAACCCATTCAGAGTCAAGACAAGTCAAATCCAACAACGAAAAAATATGACAAATTTGAATTCCTCTTTTTGCATTTTTGCTTTATATATTTTTTATAAATGAATTTATTTCCCGCTTTGATAAAATGTGTGGAGTTAAATATTTGCGCCTAATTCATTGAGTAAATACAAATTGCACGGCGTAAACGCAGAATAATGTCATTAAACTAGGAGCAATTTAGTGGACATGTTTTGCAATGATGATGCAACGTACAGTGAGTGCTTTTTTTGTTTTGTGCAGTGTTAATTGAGAATTTGAATGCTTGAATTGAATTTGAATAGCGACGTGTATGTGGCGTTGTTTTTAGGATTACCGGTAATGAATTTTTGAATAGGTTTTATTTAAACATTCAGGTTCAATTTAGTTGGATGTAAAATTGGTTTTTAAGTGAGTTTGATGTTTTTTTTAGTTAGATGAATATACCTATTGGCTTTAATTGGAGATGCTTTTTTTTATTTTTAGGTTAATTTGAAGGTTATGTTGACATGTAAATAACCTCAATATCAATTTATGTCATTAATTTAAATTTTTTACTCTGTATATCATGAGTAAATATTATTTTTTAAACAAATACCGAAAGTTAATTTAATTTTTTAATAAAACAAAGATAAAATTTATTCATTTATTTTTCGGTTAATTTGAAGGCTATTCTCATGTGCAAATAACCTCAAAATTATGTTTATGTCATTTATATTAAGGTATAATGTTTTTCCATACTGTATAACAAGGGTAAATATTACTTTTTTTTAATAAATGCTCAAAGTTAATTTAGATTTTTATTAAAACAAACAAAAAATACAATTTTTGTTTTTATTTTTCTGTATTTTGATCAAAATATTAAAAAAAAATTTGTTGTTAAATAATACGAAATAAAATTTTCGAAACAAAATAAACCCTTTCATTTTTCTGCATCATTTATAATTTATAATTCATTCATTATCCACTTAAAAAAGCGTCCGCATCAACAAATTCTCCAACATTTCGGCTCTTCCTCAAACCCGGGGAATGCGCAACCACAAAAAACGCTCGGAAATTGAAGGCACATTTTGAAAATTCATAAAATGTAAACGCTAACCCGATTAGCAGGTAGGTATACGCATACCAGCAAACGTTTCAACTTCCGACCGGGGTTTGACTGCGCGCCCAGAATGGCGATTTGCGTTTGAGTCACTTTTTGCAAATATCTCATTTATTCGCTACCCTAATTTGTAGGAATTAGTGCGTTGGATGCTGGGAGGCGGGGGGCGGCGTGCGTAATCCGGACGCGCGCCCTTCGCATCAATTAAACGTTTAAAACTCCAACCGGTCTCGTTTGTAATTCCCACAAGTATGGCGTGAACAACGCGTGCATTGCAAAATTATGATTAAACATGATTGTGATGTGATGTGTTAAAGAACTGCAAAATGACTAAAATTACGATGATCTATAATATAAAAATGAATCGCAAAATCTGTTGGTAAGCGCATAACTCAACAACGCCTTGACCAATTTGGCCCATTCTATTTTTAAAATGTTCGTTAAAGACCAAGAATGGTTTTTACGGTGAGAAAAATTCGAATAATTGCCGACAAAACCTTAAAGACAGCCCTTTTCTATAAGATAAAAGTTGGCACTGAGATTCAATCATAGTAATAGTTAAATAGTTGAACCCGAAATAGCGCGCTGAAGTGCATTATTAGCAATTCTTTATGTAATTAATTTCTTTAAAAGAAAATTGCGAATTGAGAATTGACACATACCTACTATGTCTATAACAAAACAGTTTAAACGAATTACATTTTTATTAAACACTACCGGGACAAAGTCGCCGGCAAAAGCTAGTCTAATCATAATATAGTATTTAATAAAAGATATTAGTAAAGTTGCCTAACTTTGACATAACCTCAACTAAGAATATTATCATAATTTTCACCACTCATGAAAATAAATTGAAAACCCAAAAAAATAATACCTCTCACCCATTATTCTAATGCTAACTATGTTCCTCTCCATTCACGGCTATTAATAACCCCGATGTTTTTCCTCCTTCAACGTCGCTCCTCCAATTTCATATTTTCCGCTTTTCCACTCCCACTAACCTAACCCACAATTTTTCTTTCCTCCTCTTCACCACCTACATTCATCTCATTCATACCCACACTATATCCTGAAATTTCTACGTTTTTTCCTCGCTTCGATCCTTTTTTGTCCATCACCGAAATGGACATCAACATATCCGGCAAGCGATTCGACACGACACGATGATAACTATTAGGGAGCACGCGAATAACAAGCCGACGACGGTCGAAAGCAGAGAAGAAGAAGGCGAAGAAAAAAACGCAACAAACGGGAAACGCTGTGAGGCCGTACCGCCCGGAAACCTTCCAAGTAATAAAACAAAGGATACCTCTTTGGGTGTAATGATAGTCGCGGCGAGCTGCAAACAGATTGCACGTGTTTGCGTGGCGCATGAAAAGCTCGCCGAATAAAGTCGAGCGACCGAGCGAGTGTGTAACAGACGCAAAGCTTTATAACCTTGTTTGTTTACGAAAATCTTCTCTACTCAACTCGATTATATACATTTCGTTGCGTCGACGACTGAATCAACATATACAGAGTGTTGGAAAATTAATTTAGACCTAAAAAAATATTTTTTTAAACGTTTAATGAATTTATTTTGATTTTACTTTTTTTTTTTTTTTTAACCGATTTTATAGTTTACTAGTGTATTTGTATATTTTTTTATTGTGTTTTGTAGTTCTATTCGGAGACCTTTCACAGTAAGTTCCATGCCTCCCATCGAAGATCGCCCGACATTTATCAAGATTTTTTCCATCCTTCTTAGGTCCTTTCCTGTTGCAGATTTATTCGGTTCGGCCGGCGGCAGTTCGCAGCTCGCGCTTTTGAGAAACCTCTCAACGCAAAGCTTCTTTCGCATCGTGGATTTCGCCACGTCGGGCTTCGTGCCCATCCGAGCCGCTTTGCGCCGGGGATTAATTTATGGATGCGTTTTTTCTTCTTCGTCTACAATTCCACGCTTTGCTCTAATTGATTATCCACGCCCAGGCCGGTATTTTTATAACTCGGTGGCTTGGGAAAACAAGAAGGAAGCTGAAATACTTTCTACTAATCAAATAAATTACTTATACGAATTATAACACTTACGAGCTAATAAATACAAGCGTTTTGAGCGATTTTCCCTGATTTTCTTCCCACGCATTCTTATATATAATATAATAAATCTATCATCATTTTATTAGTATTAGTAGAGTGCGGAGAATTATGAAATGAGAATAAAATCGCTGGTAATTTAAAACTAGTAAAATTTAAATTTAAAACTTTATGCCACTGACCGTTTAAAACTCATTGAAAACTGGTGTGTTCACGCAATGAGTAAAAAATGAAATATTATCAACCGACGCCGAGCATCCGTGGATAAAAAAAATGCTCGCCCAGCATTCGCGACGCACAAACCGTCATTGCGCCGATATGCAAATCTCCACTCTCTCACACCACACACTCCCATGCGCTTTGTTTGTCTCCGCCGGCCCCGTCTTTATCTATCGCCGCCCCGCAGCTTCGTTGATAAAATATGTAACGCGCAAAAAACTTTTTAGTTTCCCAAACGACGCTCGAACATATAAAAAGTCATTTGTACTTTTGTTCGATTCCGGGCGCGGCCGCGCGCGCGCTACTCTCGTTTTTATTTATTTTACGCGCCCGCCCCCGCCATAAAGGAGACGGCGGTGGTGCTGGAAGGCGCGCATAACGCAAAAAGATATCGAAGTGATTTACCGATCGTTCGTGATGCGCATTCAAAAATTGTATCCCATTGTAAGGAGGCGGCGGGCGCGAAACTTTACGACTTTGACACTCGTAAACGTTTTACGTTTTTGGACAATTTTCTTAGGAACACGGCGAATTCAAAACCAAAGTTATGAATTGTCACCTGAACAATCACACAAATCTGTATACTTTAAACGTATTTATTTATGTTGTAATTTTTGAGGTTATTTTTAATTTTATTTTGTAAATAAAAACGTTTTAATGCTGTGCACGTTGGGAATAATACGCAAAACATGTAGAATAGTATCGGGCGCATCTAGAATGTAATTATTTCAGGCGCCGCCGGTTTGATGCCGCCCACGCTCCGCAATTAGAAAATAAGCTTTATAAGATATTGTCGCCGCCATTTAATGGGACGTGTTCTTATCGCTGTGCTAACTGGTAAGCACTTTTTGACTGATACAATCAACCAAAACCATTTATCTCACATTTAAATTTTATACTTCGTTAGTTTATGTTGATATACATTTTTTTTATTCAATACTAGCT